TTCGCTTCTGTGTTATATTTTCTAACCTGTTTATACTAATATACTGTTTGGTGAGTTGATTTTGTCAACTCAGCATTTTGGCATCACTTTTTCTGGCGCAGAACAAAAAAAACTTGGCAAAATTAAACTTAACATAAAAAAATTGGGCTAAAATAACCTAGTAATGGTCTATGTTTCATCTAATTCAATTTTTGGAATATAATTTAGTACCTTGATTCCTTCATAGTTCTGAAAAACCATCGCCTTTGTAAATGCAACAAACGAAAAAAAAACTGAATGTCAAGTCATAAACATACCTTTTTTCGCTGGATCAAAACGGAGTTTTCCTGGTTAATTGTAGGCATAATTTGCTTTCAAATAAGCAAGGAAATTTTAATTCATTAAATACTGTAGTGTAAAACAGTTGCTGAAAACGCGTTGGTCTAAGATTTTACAGCTTCTTCAACAATTTGAAGTTTGAGCAAAAAAGTAGCAAAAATCTTGATGATGCGTTTTCAATGTCGCCCAGTATATGACAGCTGTTACAGTCGTGGTTCGAACGACATTAAATAATTTAAAAAATCCCAGTGTCAATAAAAACCGGACTGAAATTTTTGTTTTCGAGCGAATAAAGCGTAGCTTAAGTAGCTTATTTAAATGGCTTAAAAGCTTACAAAAGCCTAATTTAAAACGTAAAAACTCAGATTAATATTAGTTTTTTGAGTAGAAAAATTCAAAAAACTGCAAAAAAAAGTTTGAACGCGGTTTTTCAATTTGCATGTTTTGCAATGACTGTCAAATATGCCTAAATTTTATTTTTTTTTCCTTCAGCTCCTTTTCTCACACCACGCCGAAAACGACACTATTTTGAAAGAATTTTTTTTGTTGTCTTTTTTAAGAGTATGGTCGGAAAATTCTGTGCTACTTGCACAATAGCTGGCTATCCTTGCCTATACTTTATTTTGTTTATGTTCATCATTTGACATTAACCGAAATATTACACCATGACTTACACTTGTACACTTTTCAATTGGCAAATCTAAATGCTTGCTTTCGTATTAAAAGTTGCGATGTTTTCATTGGTTAGTGATTTAAAACCTTGGATGAATGATCTGTATAACTTTTATATGATCTCTGGTCATTTTTTTTGCATTTAATTTTTCCATTTTAAAACCTGGAAACGTTATTTGAATTAACAATACTAACGCTCAAAAGAATTTTAACGCTCGATGATCATTTTGTAAAAACTTTAATCTATACTATATTTAAATGCGTGTGACAGGTATCTTGCCATGTTTAAGCGTTTTTATGCAACTGTTAAGGGCCTAACGTATCTATGCGTGGTTAAGCTGTATCGAATAGTGCAATGCTTAAGAACTTTTTTTCGATTTTCCAGTTTGAATCTCGTGGTTTTTCCAACGAGTTAAAAGTAAGCAACACAATAGTGGTATGCTCTCAGAGGTCCCCCAGGTTTGCGAATTGGGTGTCCAATTATGAATGCCCAAATCCTTTGTGTATGAGATACGACTATTTTTGTGATTTCTTCAAAATTTTCAGAAAACTCAATTTACAGAATAATTTAAAAACTTGAAATAACCAACCTTGTAGATCGGTGCTGTCAGAGTACTCTCAAGGATTGCGATTCTTGCCTCCAAATATGATTGCTCAAATTCTTGAAATTTTCGAGATATGACGTGTTTTATGATTTCTTTTTAATTTTTCAGAAAGGTTAGATTTTAAAAATTCAAAAGATTTGAAATTCTTAAGTTTGTAGTTGGGTACTGTGAGGGTACTCTCAGAAGTTTCAAGATCCAAATCTTGCGCCCAAATGCGACTGCTAAATTGCCATTAGTTTTCGATATTGACGTTTATTGCGGTTTTTCAAAAAAATAACAGAAAATTTAAATATATATATTTTTGCTAGTTATGAAAAGCCCAACACTCTATTTGGAGGCTGCCAGAACCCTATCGGGGGTTGCGAATCTCATTTCTAATTATGACTCTTCAAATCTTTGTAGTTTAGGAGATATGACATTTTTTTGTGATTTAAAAAAAGTCTGAATTCAATTTTTTTCTTCAATTTTTGAAATTCTTAGCCCTTCAGTCGGAAGCTGTCAGAGAACTCGGGGTTTTCGAATCTGGCCTTCAAATTTGATTAATTTTTTTTAGTATTCGAGATATGACGTTTTTTGTGATTTAAAAAAAAAATTTCAGAAACCTTTAATCTAATTTTTTTCTTCAAATTTTGAAATTCCCAACCCTTAAGTTGGAAGCTGTCAGAGAACTCTCGGCCGGGAGTTGCAAATCTTGCCTCAAAATTTGCCTGATCATTTTTTTTAGTTTTCGTGTTCAAAAAACTTTCAGCGAAGTTAAATTTCTTTTCAAATTTGAATCGAAAATGAAGCCACCTTCCTTGTAAAGGGGAGCTGTCAGAGTATTTTTAGTGTTTGCGAATCTTGCCTTCAAGTTTGACTACTCAATTTTTTGTAGTTTTCGAGATAAGACATTTTTTTTCTCGATTTTTTCAAAAAACTTTCAGAAAACTTACATTTAATATATATATTTTTTTGAAATTTCCAACCCCTTTGTTAGGGGCAGTCATATCACTCGAGGGGGTTGCGAATCTCACCTCTACATATGACTGCTCAAGTCTTTGTTATTTTCGAGACGTGAGGTTTTTATGGTTTTTCAATTTATTTTTTCAAAATTTGAAATTCCTAACTCTCTAGTTGGTTACTGTGAAAGTACTCTCTGGAGTTGCAAATTTTGCATCCAAATGTGACTGCTTGAATGCTTTTAATTTCCAGGATATGGCGTTTGTATGTCATTTTAACACTTGCGAAGCAATTTGTTATAGTAGGAACTTCTGTTTTTTCCAGCCTAAGTCGCAAATTTTGTTGCGACTTAAAGCAACAATATTGGCTGCATCGAATTGGAAATACAGCTTAACAGTTTATTAATTGCATGTGTTTTGACATCCGAATAGTTATAAGTTAACACAGTTGATGCGTTTTTAATTCAGCAAATGAAACGAAAAAAGCTATTTGTTTCAAAAATTTGATTTCAGAAGTTTTCTAACTCAATATATCTCGCAATTTTTTGAAATGCTTAATTGATACATAATGTGGCTTTATACTTTGCGATTTGTTACATGCAAAGTTAGTGTGGATGCCTTCAGTTTGTTATATTCCAAATTGTGTCTATTTGTCTTTGGTGCCACTTTTGCTGATTGACATTGGCAATTTATTACCATATGGGCTGCTTTATTCGTGACTAGTGTTTGTCGGTTAAGCTTGAGTGGCTGAGTGGATAGTGCGTGAGACTCAAAAGCTCTTGATTGCAGTAGGTCGCTAGTTTTTTTACACCTGATGATGCACAAATGTGCGAAAACGTTCGTAATTTACATTTTTAATTCCTATCAAATTTATCTATCTCAATTTTGCACATGTTCTCAAAGTTCAATGCTGGTGATGAGTAGTAATTCGGAAATGTTTCAATAAACATTGATCTACTACAGTTTTTACCTCAATATAAGCCCGCATTTCTATGTTATTTTTTTGGCCCGACTTTAGAAATTGGGAACGCAATCTGTATCCGGCTGTGCTTTACACTAGTGGACAAAATTAAGCGCAAATTCAGGTTTTTACACCCAAAATAAGACGTATTTTCAATGTTAATTGTGGACAACATGTACTTCGAATTTCGACAAATTTTGTACATGACCAAGAGCAACTGATCAGAGTTATCCTCTTTGAATGTGTCAATATTTGTTTTCAATGACTTAGCAACGTAATCCGGGACTGAAAATGCCGGATTTCTTCAACTGCACTAAGTTTTGCATCGTAGAGAACTCTTTCTTGAATAAGCGGAGTAAAAAAGTTAGTCTCGTGGCATTAAAATTTCTCTGCGAGAAAATTGAAATAATTAATGTGAAAGTTTTACTTAACTCGGTTTTCATCTTAATTGTATATGGTGTCCAAAATGGACATGGAAAGCAGTCAGTTTAAAGAGTGCAATACTGCATTTGCGCGTAATTTTGGATTACGCCACCCCCCACCCGCCCCAACTTACCCCCCCCCCCCCCCCGACGTACCCCCTCAACGTATCCAACATCCAACAAACCCCCCCACCAACGTACCCCCCCCCCCAACGTACCCCCCTCAACGTACCCCCCCCCTCAACGTACATCTAACTCTAGTAAGGGACATCAACTCTAGTAAGAGGTGAGGGGGGACATGAACACTAGTAAGAGGTGGGGGGGGGTGGGTTGGGTCGATTATTTTTGTTATTTTGTAGAGACTGACAATAAAAATCCTGACAGTATATTTGTTGTGTATGTCTAAAACATTGAACATATTCAGTAGAACAAATACAGCGAATATTAAGCTTCCAGCAAGTCAGCATAGACTAACGGATAAGGCGTCTGACTGCGAATCAGAAGATTGCGGGTTCGAATCCCTCCGTGGTCGACTTCTTATTATTAAATCTTGCGCGGTTTTTTTAGATAAACCGCTCAAAACCGTTCAAATCTTGCGCGGTTTTTGAGCGGTTTTTTTAGATAAACCGTTCAAAAACCGCTCAAACCGCTCATTTTGAAGCAAGATTTTGAGCGTAATTGTCTAAAAAAACCGCTCAAACCGCTCAAATCTTGCTTCAAATTAGGTGAAAAATCTCGACTCGGGCATGAGTGTAGTTGTTTTTCTTTTTATTTCTGACGCAAAATCATATACCGGAAAACATCATCGGAGTATATCGATGTATCAATTCAAATCCCTTTTAGTCGTGATTCGAACGGCATAAATTTGTTCAAAAGTTGACTCACTGTCGAGCAAAACTGTTAAAAAGTTATAGTTAAATTTCGTGAGAGTTAAGCGAGCGAACTGGCTGTTTATAGAAGAATAAGGCTTGAAACTTTAGTATATAACTCCTGTAAAATTTCTCGAAGTTTTTTAGAGCGACCGTGAGATAGAATTTATAGTTGGTGCCCTTGTGAAAAAAATGTCTACCTTTTGTGAAAAAAATTGTTGAGCCACATATTTACTTGTTTTTGATTTTTGAACGAAACTTGCAGGAATAAATTTTGTTTTTGCAAAAGTTTGTTTTTGCAAAGGACGCAGCAATCATTGTACATTGTTATTCCACAGAACTTTTGAATTATGTTCTGTTGATTAATATACGTCCTCGTCCTCTTGAGCATTCTCACTTGCTACAACTTCTTCGTAGTCCTGTTCAAGCACTGCCAGGTCCTCTCTAGCGTCATTGAATTCAGCTTCCTCCATTCCTTCTCCGACATACCTTTAAAAATGAACCATTGGTTGATACGTTAATAGGCTACTATTGTTTTGATATCATAATTTTGTTTTAGTTATACCAGTGTACAAAGGCTCGTTTCTGGTACATCAGATCGAATTTCTCGCACAGTCGTCTCCAAGCATCTGCGATAGCCGAAGTGTTGCTGATCATGCAAACTGACCTAAAATAAATGCTTAAAACTGAGTATTGTTTTGGCTATACTTCCGTAAAAAACTATAAGTTAGCATTAAGAAGAACAACCATCGCATGGTTTTGGTGACATTTTTTTCATTTTTGGACCCAAATTGGTTAAACTGTGTATGTGTTATTTTGGCGGCAGCTGAGTGGGCGAAAAAAATAGGCTGAACAGATAGATGTGCGCGCGTTTTTTTTTTTTCAAATTGCCCCCTTCCCTTGTAATTTTAAAATTCTTCCGGAGTAGATGGGTTAATCAAACTATTTGACCTAAATAAAGGTCAACGAAAGGCGGTAACATCTGATTACCTGGGAACTTCTGCCAAGTCACCACCAGGTACAGTCTTTGCAACAGTTCCGTTGATACCAACTTTAAATCCAGTGGAAATGTAGTCTACAAAGCTGATGTTCTTTCGCTTCTGCAGAACGCTGATGACCTTGTTCACATCATTTGAACTCACATCACCTCTGTATAGCAGGCAAACAGCCATGTACTTACCTAGGTAAAGTGAATTAGTTTACTTAAGAAATAACAGACAGCAATTTTTAACTTAAATTGGAAAAGATCGTTACCCTCTCTTGGGTTGCATTTGACCATCTGACTTTGCGGCTCAAAACAGTTCAAAGTGATCTCACTGACAGAAAGAGCGGTCATTTGAGCTTTCTCCGCCGAGATGATGGGTGAATAGGTTACGAGTGGATAGTGAATCCGAGGAAATGGCACCAAGTTCGTCTGGAATTCATTCAAGTCCACATTGAGAGATCCTAAAACTCTTCAATTCTGCCAAGATATTTTGAAATATGGAATTTTCACATTTTTACTTTCAATATGTCGTTTCATTTACCTAAGCAAGTGACCTGTTATCGGGAGCTAGAATTTTTTCCGCGAACAACTTCTGGTAAAAATTTGTAAGAAAGTGGACTAGATTTTTTTTATGAAACCTGAACAACTTCCAGGCCCATTCCCGCTTGCTTAAAGTGGTAAAGCGCAAAATTTTACCTCCTTAGGTCTGAAGTGTGAACACCGACCGACTTTTTTTTTCAATTTGTATGAAATGAGAATGGAAAAAAAATTGAATTGGAATTGTCGATATATTACTGTCGGCTCATTTTTTTGTCGGCTTGAGTTCCAAAGCATGGGTTTTTTGATAATACATAGATTTTGATATAATTGAATGTTTTACGGCAAAATCCATAATCAGTTACCACAAATACTCATTAGAATGGATCGAGTGATATATTTATTATATTCAAGCATGCTAAGTCTTGATTCGAACGACATTTAAAGAAGTACAAAACTATTTACTGTGTCGTCAAAAACTGGTTGAAAATGAAAAGTAATTATTTAAGCCGTTTCCCACAAATAATTTCCCACAAATAAAAAAATCTTTCGTCGTTATTCTTTTTTTGAAGGCCAATTCAATCTATTATGTTGAGTTTACTAAAGTTCTAGTCTTTCCTCTCATCACATCGCGCTTAAAAGCGGCAGAGACGTTTTGTTTTGTTTTACGATTGAGGTCGGAACTTTCGCTGCTACTAGTAAGTAACCGCTGTCCTTGTTCATTACCCTTGCGATAGGTAAGGGTATTGCAATCGGGTACTAGAATTTTTTTCACGTAAACAGCTTTGTTGACAGAATGGCCATTTTAGTAGGAATGGTCAATATCACTTCTGACATGCTCGAATTCTAGAAATTCAAATAAAACTTAGACCAAAACATGAAATTTTGAAGCAAATAATTTTCAGATGCTGAGGCCCTGGTAAGACTAATAAGTTCACCTGAATAAAAAAATGGACGAAAGAACTCTTTTTGGAATACTAGATCCTTATTTTAGATTATAATTGAAATAAAAGGGGTTCATAGATTGATTTCTCTCAAATTGATGGTCGATATATTGAAATAACCACGCAGTAAAAAATTTGTACCTGGGAATCGTAGTGAAGCAGTGATGGATGAGACGACCTGGGATATGAGTCTGTTCAGATTGGTGTAGGTGGGGTTGTTGATCTTGAGGTGCAGTTTGCAGATGTCGAAAATGGCCTCATTGTCCACCATGAATGTCAGATCTGTGTGTTCCATAGTCGTGTGTGTCGACAGGATGGCGTTGTAGGGCTCTAAATCCAGTCATTTCAGAGGAATTACAAGGATGATTTAAATTATTTGGCAAAACGATTAAAACTTGAAATTTAGAACACGTTTTTCTCAAAGTGGGTTGACTGAAGAGAAAAATGGATCAAATATCCAATATAGATCAATTTGGTATTTTTATTCAACAAAAAATTGCGCCAGAACTATCAGAGCAATTGCTGGGAAAAGTATATCAAAGTGAGCCTCCTATATAGCCCAACAAAGTTCCAGAAGGTTATAAAGAATGGCACTTTCTGGTCGGCTAGCATGCCTTGGTATTTTGGTGTTGAATCAAATATTGTGTTCAGATATTTGTAGAGTGTTATCATTTGATTACTGACCCACAACTGAAGTGGCCAAGTTGGGTGCTGGATAGACGCAGAAATCTAGTTTGCACTTCTTCTGGTACTCCATGGACAGTCTCTCCATGAGGAGAGCCGCGAACCCAGACCCAGTGCCTCCTCCAAAGCTATGGAACACCGTGAAGCCCTGTAGACCACTGCACTCCTCTGCCTAAGAAAGAAACATTGTCTCCTTATAGAATTATCAATCAAATCTGAAAAAAACTTAATGTTGGTGTCTCTTGAGCTTGCAAATCTCTTCGAGTCATAGATAGTATGAATGTCAATAACAAAATCGAGCTCTCAAACTGTTGTTGTTTATTCTTAACTGGCTGTTTTCCTTGCGTCAGATTAAACTTCAACTAAATTGAGTACGTACCACTCTATTCATCCTCTCAATTACTTCCTCTATTTTCTCCCTGCCAATCGTGTAGTGTCCTCTCGCGTAATTATTGGCCGCATCCTCTTTGCTGTCAATCAAACAGTCCGGGTTGTACAGCTTCTTGTAGGGTCCACTCTTGATTTCACCTATGACTCCTGGTTCCAAGTCCACGAATAGAACCCGAGGGACGTGTTGTCCAGTGCCCGTTTCGGAGAAGTGGGTGTTGAAGGAGTCGTCCTCTTTGCCGACAGAGGTGTCTGAGGGCATCCTTCCCTCGGGGTCGATTCCGTGCTCGAGACAGTACAGTTCCCAAACTGCATTGCCCATTTGCACTCCCGCCTGTCCTACGTGGATGTTGATTACTTCTCGCTAAAATTAATTTCACATACATTACTCCGTTCCTTAGTTGTTCTGGGAACAAATGTTCAAAAGTTCATTTTTCACATTTCACATGCGTTATTCCGTTTATTTAGTTGCTCTAGAAAAATAAGTATTTTAAATTTCGTTTAAATGTAAAATTGATTTTTGGTAAATAATGTTTAAGATTCGGTGAACGTAGTTCAGACTCTTATGTAGGTCGTGATAATTTTTTTTTCTTTTCCGGAGCTTCAAGCTCAAATTTACTGTTATTGCGATTTGTCTTTTGATATCTTTTTAAGTTCAATTCATTTCCTTGGTTAAAAGGAATGCAAACTGCACTATCGGACAGTTGGTGCGATGTTGGTACTCAAAAGCTTATCTATAAGTTCACTATGACAGCTAATTTTGAGTGGTTTTTAATCCTATTACTTAAGTTATCCTTTAATATCGATCAAAAAATTTGACTTTTCAGGAGTAAATCTAGATAAAAAAAACGTGCCAAAAGTTTTTGGACATCTGATGTTTTGTCTTCAAAAAAAGTTTGTTTTTTGTTTAGCGAGCGCACGCAACTCCTCCCTCAGCCCAAAGCTATGCATGAAAACAAAGCAAATTTTATGAATTTTCGAAACTCTTAAAAAGATGTTCTTTTTAAAACACAATAATCTATAATACGTACCACCATGTTAGAATAGAAATAGTTTAGTTTCTCTGTTCGAGATCAGCTGTCGATCTGATTGTTAGAAGAAAGGGTGAAAAAGTGGCTCGAGTTAGAACTGGGTTTGTGAAATTAGTCAACAAAGTTTTGGTGTCGATTTTAATCAAACACACACATCCTGTTCTCAAATTCACTCTCTTTACATGTCATCGCACAGCTTCCAATTCTGAAACCTTTCTACTCATTTGTTTCAATCAAAACGCCATTTTAATTTTGGTAATATTTGTCCAATTTATAAATATGGTATTTGTTTAAGATTTTGCCGATGTTTGAAAGATGGTAGAAACAGAAAAGAGTTTGTATCCCGCAAATCTGAAAAAGTATACGGACGAAGGTCGATTACCGTTGAATGTCAAACGGGAAATAATTCCATGTTTGGTGGAAAGCTCAGTGGGTTGTCAAGAAAACGAGGAGCTAAATGGTGTAACTTCTGCTATGCTTCATGAAGCATTTTGGCTAAGTCCCATATACGAATCAATTTTCATCCTTTGTTCAGAGCTGAAGTCTAAGCCATTGCAGCTTTCTAGAGCTGAAATTGTGCTGAAGGAGTTATATACATTCTTTAAGAATGACCAGAAAATAACAGAACTTTTTGCAGAAATGAGTTTCATCAAAACTGATGTCGAAAACATGAACGCTTGTATGTGTTCGGATCAACTTATTAATATACCCGATATTGTTTTGAACGTTTTGGAAAAAACTTCGGATGAAAAGTGGGACAATTTGCAAGGTGACAAATTTTTCAACAGGTTTCTGTACTCAAATGTAAAAAAATTAATGCTCCATGATTTGTTTTTTAAAGTTTTGGTTGTTTAAGGTTATTCGAAGCTGTAGTTTTGCTCCTCAAAACAAACCCGCTTGTTGGAAGTAAAAAAATATATTTCTCAGTTCTATCGTATTTTATTTCGAAGAGTTGCAAACGAGCAAAATGTGTCAAGTTGGTTCTTTCACCGCTGACGACTATGTCCTAGACCGCTGACGACCTTTCACCGCTGACGACTATTTGGATCCTGACGACTATGTGGCTAGACGCTCTCTTTGGCAGCTTTCGGCTAATTGCCCCAAAGAGTACCTGGATACATTTGTTACTTCTATTCTGAAAGTTTGCTCTTCGTGGAAAAATGTTAGGTCAGTTACAAAATGCACAAATTGGTTTTTCCCAATATTGGTAACCTAAATATAAATGATATGATTAAAGTCTAGAATAGCTTTAAGCAAATTTGTCAAGTCAAAACTTTTTTTAGCTCAATACTCGGAGATCTTGTGGTTCAATGCGAAATCTGTCGTCATATTTTATTCACAAAGCTAGTTTCTGACCGCTATTTTGAAGATGACCAGCTCATATGCAACTTGTTGGGGTACTTTTTGGGTCCAGAAACCAGCAGATTGGAGATTTTCGACCTGTTTCTTACTGACGTATGCAAGGTCTGGGCCGATCCCTTTGTGGTGCTGTATGTACCATACGAGCAATTGCTGTACATAAACAAAATTGCAGCTCTAGGAATCCAGAAACACCCCAGTCCAGGTTTGCTTACACTAGCGCTCAGCGTATTGTATTAGTACGAACCTTCTTGTTTTCTAATCTACCTCGCAAACTAAATTTTCATTAGAAGTGTTCACTTATTTGGAAATTTCACTGTAGCATTGGAAATTGCATAGCATCTGTTCTCTGCTTCATTTGTGGCTAGTGTTTGGTGATTATTAAGCGTCCGTGGCTGTGTACTTTAGTGTGTGAGACTATTAATTCCTAGGTCGCAAGTTCGAATCTCAGACGTAGCCGGAATCCGAATTTGTACTATTTCGAGGCTTATTTCTAATTTTTCTTATTGCACTTTATAGATCTGCTTTTTGTGTTCTCGCAAGTATTTTCGAAACAAAGCTTCGCCTCTGTGTGAAATTTTGAGTTCTTCGCTGAAATATATGAAGTTACTCAATTTCACTATCAATTCTACGTTAAAATTTCACTGAAAAACCGAAAGGCAAAAACCAGTTTTTCTCGACACTGAGAAAGCTTTCTCTAAAGAAAGTTTGCTGGAATCATAAGCACGACTGGAAAGGCTAGTTGACCCCCTGAATGTAACTTCTGTGTAAGCTTTCTTTGAAGAACTTAAAATCATGCGGAAAAAATCTCATCTTATGCAGTAGTTCCTTCCCTTTTGGAGAATGGTCGGCAGGGTTGCATGATTAAAATCAACTTGATTTAAATCAATGATTTGAATCGGATTTTAATCGTAGAATAAAAATCAACCCTTGTGTTATCCTACCGAGTGCCGCGGTAAACATACAACCCAGCTTGCAGTATTTACATTGGTTACGTAATTCGCTCTTCATAGCATTCTTTTAACTGGAAAAGTTTTTCAGCACTTTCGGATTTATCCATTCCAGTCTCAGAAATTGACTGGGAATAGACAATTATGGGTAACTTCTGTTCTTCTTTCGGATGCTGGATCAGTAATTTTGCGTAAATTAATTGATTCTTGAAACAAAAACTTTTCCAATAAAAATCGAAAAAATCAAATCGGATTTATATCAATCGAGAGTATACATCAGATTTTTATGCAACCCTGATGGTCAGAACAGTAATTTATTATTGAAAGAGCCATCAAGTACTAATGAATTGACACAGGTCGTATGGTTTTTGCTTCGTGCCAATATTTGAACCTGAAAAGATGGTGGCTCGAACTAATTCTGTTGAAACCTAAAGCTTCAAGGAAAGGTGGAACATCCAATTTAGTGTAAATTGAAAATTGAACCATGATGTTTCGGCTTTCTCAGCAATGTATTGTATTATTTTGACAGCGACTGTTTTGTTAAGCTGAATGGGGGAAGAGTTGTAGCCACCGAATAATGGAGGGGATCACGATTTACCTCAAGAGTTCAGTGGAAAGAGTACGTGTAATGGGCTCATACGTAGGACAGCTTCTCTGCAATGCGGTCAATAAAGGCGCTAAATCGAAGTTGGACCTCCCGAAAACATCAACTACTGACCATTTCATTAAACAGATTGATCAATTGGTCAAGCTATACGAGTAAGTTATACTGTGCTACTAAGGTGTAATTATTTTTTGATATAGCGAGTGTTTAAAAACACGTTTCTCATTACCCCTGCGTTTAGCAAGGGTGTTGCAACAGGGTACTTGTCTTAAACTACTTTGCTCCCCGGGTACTAGACAAACTACTTTGTTCTCAAGATTTTGCACGTGAAAATGTTACACGTGTTTACCCTTGCAATAAGCAAGGGTAGTGCCATCGGGTACAAGACTTTTGCCCGTAAATAACTTTGTTCACGGAATGGTCAATTTTGTAGGAATGGTAAATTTCAAGATATGCTCAATTTCTGAAAATTCAAATGAAACTATCTCATCTGGGTAAATAGCTGGAATAAGTTTCGGTAACTAGTTGTTTTTTTTTTTTTCAAATAAATATCTTGAAAAATGTTAATTTTTTGGGATTCGTGTTTTTCAGCCTAGCTTCTGTCGGTTCATTTTCCGTTTCTTTAAATGGCGTTAACATTATCTAGTACTTGTTTTTATCGTCCTGCTTTGTGAAGCATGGATTTGTTTTGATTCTATAAATACTATTAGTATAATTGAAAGTTCTGTAATTTGTCATGAAGCAAGTCTGATTTAGAATATTTTTTTGAAGATTTTTTTCCAATTAAATGGTTTCTACTGATTTTGTATCGGCTTTGTCAACTGTGAGAAACTTTTTGACTCTTTATAGAAACTACCCTGTCAAATCGTTGCGATAATCTTTCTTGGATGGAAGCAGCGGTTCCTAGATTTTTTCAAAGAAAAAGGTTGTCTTTGGGAAGATTCCATTTTCTCAAAAATGTTCAGTCCTAATTAATTTCTTAGAGAAGCAGCTAAGGATTAGGACAAAGTCCAATTTTTGAAACTGCCCATTTATTCCGCATCAAAACAACAAATTCCAAATTTATCAAACAGCCAGCTCCTGCCTTATCTGGACCACTAGTTATTTTTTTATCGAGACAAGCGAACATTTGGGTTCATTCGATTTTTTTCTTCAATTTTTTCGACTTCTTTTGTATTGTATCGCAAGTGGCGCGAAGCTCTGTTTCGCCTCTGTGATCAACTTGCTTTTAAATAAGATCAAAGGCAATCAGCCGTCCAGCAGATCGGCGTAGAGGTAAAACACCTGGTTAAGACGACAAAGGCTTGTGGTTCGGAATCGGCCTGTACCTGTTTTTTTTTGGTAGCTAGAAGTTTTCTGCTTTTTGAGACTATCGTCCGTCTGTTCATTTTTGTCGGTTAAGTTCCCGTAGCCCGAATCTTTTTAGGAACCGATGGACGTAGTTCAGACTCTAATATAGGGCGCGATTATATTTTTTTTTCAGAAAACGTCTAAAATTTCGGGCTCAATTTACTCTTTCGCGGTTTGACTGTTGAGTTTTTTTGAATTCAGTTCTTTCCTTTTGTTAAAAGGAAGATGAACTCCACTATCGAACAGCAAATCTGCAAATGTCACTAAACGTGATCGACTTTTAGTTTTGAAAGTCGAGTTTAATTTTCGGACTTCCCATCGAAATAAAGATTCAACTTATTGATCCAGTTTTCTCATATAGGGTTAATTTTTTCAAAAAAAGCTAATCATTGGTTGTTCGAGCTTTTCAAAGAGGCTCAAGGGCATTAATTTTTTTCTTTGAATTTCGAAACTAGATTTTTCAAAAAATAACAAGTCAGTATTTTTCTTTTTGTTTAGGTTCATTGACTCTTTTCCAACTGTCTGTTGGCTATGTTTGAAGGTTCAGGTATCTTCTAAGTTTCTGAATGCCATTTCCAAAGCCCCCTGGTACAATTATTAGAGTTACGTGTAGTTTTAATTTTTTGAAAACTTTGATAAAAATTTATCAAATCAAAAAAGATCTGTTATTTGAAGCTCATGAATTTTTTATGTGCACAGGTTTTTTTATATATGCTCTATCGATTAATGCGCACTGAAATTTTACTCACACATGTGATTACTATGCTCGCGATAAGCAAGCATAAACAATTCGGAACATCCTTTTTCTTTATCTTTTTCTCAAATCTGCCTTTTCGTCAACCAATAGACATAATTTGATGCCTGCAGATCA